TTTTTCTTCTTCTTCCATTCTTGCTCACGTTTTGGCATTTCTCTCTCGCAATTGCACCAGTGTGACGTCACACAAAAGTTATTCTCAAAAATCCTCTCTGATCGGCGCAATCTTGTATTCTATCATTCTTGGGTGCTATAGATATATCCAATACTGTACATACGTATGTACATACACACCACTTAGTTGTAACGGTGTACACGCTTATATAAGTGAACAGGCAGGCAGGCAGGCATTCATAAATCATATTTCCAGAGCTTTAGTTGCCTTAGCTGGTGTTGGTTGTTGGTTCTGTTCTTGCAGTTGCTGCTGCTGCCTCTACATTCGTCTGGCTATTTTCAGGATATTTATCCTGACAGCGGATTTTGATGGAAAAACTTTTGTAAATTGCTTTCAGGAGAATTTTCCTGTGTGGTGCATTGTATTCGTAGCATGCAGACACTTATGGACACTAGCAAACACATATGTACCTACATACATACATATCTACTATATTTGAATGTTTGCGTCGTTTGTGTTCTTAACTGCGGCGCTGAAAGTATTGTACACATTTTTCGCTCCTTTGCCATCGGCATTATTATAGCCTTGTTTGGCTATTTTTTGTCCTTTTGTTGAATTTTGCTGTAGAGTGTTCGTCGTTTTCTCAACTTTGGTCTATGCATGTTCTCGTAGTGTGTGAATGAAATTTTCTAACTAAACACCAACACAGCCCCGCTACATCGGCTATTTTGTTGGCACTGCCGTTATTCTCCTCACCAGCACATTATCCTTTAGGCTCTCCAATCATGAAACAAGCTGCTTATTGCTCCAATACTTCTGAAGCTCCATCACCTTTCAGGAGGAGCAGTTATAGCTACAGCTGGCTGTTTTGGTCAAACTTTCGTAATATTGTTTGTATAAGTGCTGCCTTACTATTCAAATATTCAGCTCCACCCATGCCTATAGCTTACACAGTACTTGCTTACATGCATACATATATGTACATACATATGTATGTGCAATATACATATATACATTGCATATGCACATATTTGTATATCACATTCCAGATGGGTTTAAAAACTCAATAAGGAAAACCTAACCTATGGTAAAAAAAATTCAGTTAAAATTTAACTTCATACATATTAAAGTAAGAAGGTATGAAATAAATACATACATAGTTCTTTACATTTATAACATAAATTTACTTTATTTATGTACTCTTAGTGCATTTAGAATTCTAGAAAATATTCTTGAAGTGTTTAGGTCACACAATGAAAACTTTAAGAAGGTTTGTAATTTTTTGAAGTGAAACTTCTTTAGTGGCGATTGGTTGGGTGGGAGTAAATTGGCAAATTCAGCGGAAATTGCAAACGGAAATGGTGCAACGGAAATGATGCAACGGAAATGATGCAACGGAAATGGTGCAACGGAAATGGTTGGGGCTGAAACAAGTACTTCTTGTGTGTATGCATATGGTATGAATTTAACAAAAACTTGCTAATAAAAGGTTAGAGGATAACACTTAGAAATAACAATACAAGAATGAAAGTTAAGGTGAGTACGTATATAGATAAAGAAAATTATAAAGGCAAAGGTAAAAATAAAAACAAAAACAAAAACAAAGATGTGTAAAGATAAAGGTAAAAATGAAGACCAAGGTAAATTTAAACACTTTACTTATATATATAAGGGCAAAGGTGAAGGGGAATATGTTGATGAAGAAAATGATAAACTTAAAAGTAAAAACAAAGACGAGGATGAGGATACCGATAAAATTAAAGATGACGATAGGGGAAGAAAGATTAAAATAAAGGTAATTAAAGAGGAAAGGATATAGAGAGAGACACATAGACTCAATCTGGGAACTATTTTGGGATTTTAGAGATTTTCGAGATTCTCGAGACTTATCGATTAAATAATCGATATTTTTATTGGGTTTGTTATCGATATTCACCGATTTTGTTCTCGATATTTATCGACTTTGTTAGCGATGTTTATCGATTTTGTTATCGATATTTATCGATTTTGTTAATGATATTTATCGATTTTGTTATCGATTATTATTGATTTGGTTATCGATATTTATCGATTTTGTAATCGATATTTATAGATTTTGTTATCGGTATTTATCGATTTTGTTTTCGATTTTGTTATCGATATTTCTCGACTTTGTTAGCGATATTTATCGATTTTGTTATCGATATTTATCGATTTTGTTATTGATATTTATCGATTTTGTTATCTATATTTACCGATTTTGTTATCGATTTTGTTATCGATTTGGTATCGATATAAATCGATTTTGTTATCGATATTTATCGCTTTTGTATCGATATTTATCGATTATGTTATCGACATTTTTATCGATTTTGTTATCGATATTTTTATCGATTTTCTAATCGATTTAGCAACCAATGGTATTATCGATGTTGCTATTGAAATTTTTATCGAATTTGTCATCGATTTTGTTATCGATATTTTTATGGACGTTATAATCGATTTTGTTATCGATAGAGTATGAAGATAAAATGAAGATAACGTAAAAACAGAATAACATGAATGTTATTAAAAGGAACAGTGGTAGAGGTAGGGATCTACATTGATAGAAAAAAAGTGAAAAAATATAACCTTAAGCAAAAGCAGATGTGTGTACGTATAGATAGATAAGTAACGTAAGTTTCACTTCTACAGTGTGGCCCAGGCGCACTTACTTTTTATTTTTCTAGTTTAAGCCTTAAATAGATTTGGTGGCAATGTGTGGAAAGAAAAACCCCGTTCTCTTCTAAAACCATTTCGCACTTTGCAAAATTTCATGAGAATCGTAATTTAAACGAATCTTAAATCTTCCGAATTGTTTATGCTTAGAAAAATATCAGGTACCCATTAATATCGGAATAAAAATACTCGATATCCCAAATATCGATACAAAGATCCAAAAAATTTGGCGCACTTCCAAAACGTACCAAAGTAATGTTTGCATACTGTTCTACTGCGGTATTTAAACTGTATGTATATACAGAGTTGCGAAACATTGCAACTATATACTTTGCATATTTTGAATATTCAAGATAATAATGAATATCCTTTAAGGATTTTCCATTTTCACAACACGAGTCACAACCAAAAACAAATGAAGCATCATTGTAGGCCTCTGTGGTGTATAGGGATGAAACGATACCATGGAGGTATCGATACTTTTACTTGGAAGTGGTATCGAAAGAAAGTATCGATACCTGGAAAATTTTTTATGCAATCAACTCTTTGTGGGGCTCTTTTTCTCCTTTGTTTATTTTCTTCAATAACACAGCTTCCCTGCCTTTAGTATTTTCCGCTAGTCTTTTTAGCGCGAAGAATAAGACCCTGCTAATACGACGGGAGCTAAACGCGCGTTTACAACTATGCGTATTTCGTTGCATTTTACTCAAGGTGTTCACATGATAACGCGAGTTACACGTAAGTAAATTCGTGTAGGTGTTAGTATCAAAACGCATGCTTAGGAAAAACAGCGGAGGAAAAATTACCGAAGCCAAATTTGCCTAACCGCCGTATTCTAACAAAGTCAGAAACCTTAGCTCATCACTGCTGTGATTTCTACTTGGCGATAAAAGTTTGCCAATACAACACAAATTTTTAAGTTGTTGTGCATTTTTCTCACATTTTAAATCGAATTTTTGATGGCACAATTTGCGGCGCAATAGAAATCACAACAGTCATGAGCTAAGTTTTATGACTATGTTAGAATATAGGGGTTAGTATCGGATTTCGACGCACGCCACAAGTCGGAGGACAAGCTCGGCCAAACACTAACATATGCGTAAGCGCCAATCTATTATTATTTCTACACGTAGATATTGAGGTGTTGACTTAAAACACAAAGACCGCGGTTTCAATTCCCGCCCTATGCAATCCTAACGATAGTATAAATTTCTGCTCATTAAATCCCAATTTGTATCGGAATCGATTGTTAATCACATTATCTTTGTAATGTGACTGTATGACATTCGATACAATATTAGGGTTCTGATACTCTATTCCAAAAAATATCGTTTTAAAACTATCGATATGGTATCGCATAGTATCGAAATTCGTGTCCCTAGCTGGAAACGCTGGCCGCCTCCCAAATATGAAGAGGTGCAAATACCTAGCGATTTCCCTGCAAAAAATAACAAAACTGCTGGAGCGGACGGCATGCTAGCTGAGCTATTTAAGTGCGCTGCACAGTGATGAATAGAACAAGCTAGCTGGACAAAAGTGGTCATTGAATTTTTGTATTATAACGATTGAAAAAGACAACCAATTTTCTCATTATTATGAATTAGATAAAAATTTGGCATTATTATTGTTCAAAGCTAAGGAATTAATTATTTTTTTTTATCAGAAAAACGGATACTCGTGTTGTTTAATTTCATGTTGTGGACTTATTGCTATTTTGCGTGCCGTTTATTTCTAGAGCTGTTTTTACTTTATATTTATAATGGATTTGCAAGCCAAAGGCCACTTATTTTCTATGTAATCTTGTTTTTATCACTATTACTATTAATTTTTTTTGTAGCTATTTGAAAGTGAAAGTATTTAGTATTACCCCACCTAGCCCCAATCTGAAATTTATATACAGCGTGGCGACGAATAACTGTTACACAGTTTTTTTTGAGAAATAAAAGGGTCCTTTATAAATTTTGCGAAAAAAGTATTTTATTGTTAATTTTCCACAGATTTTACTTTAGTTGTATTAGTTAGTTTTTAAATTTTAATCCTTATCTACATTTGCCAGCAGTGTAAACTTTGAGAGAAAAGTTCATTTGGCACGCAAGTCTTTTTCAGGTGTATTTTTTCTTAGGCTTTGTATAAAAAAAGTACAAAAAAGAAAAAAACTGTATAAGGTTGGTCGAATGAATGGCCGTCCTAGTCACCAGTCCCGAGTCTATTAGATTTTTGAGTATGAGGCCTTATTTTGGACAGAAGGGGGAGTATAAGGGACTCAAAATGGAGAAAATTAGCCTATGGTTACAGAAGATATGGAACAAATTAACTGACGAGGACCTGCGTGCCAAATGAACTTTTCTCTCAAAGTTTACACTGCTGGCTAATGTAAATAAGGATTAAAATTTAAAAACTAATTAATACAACTAAAGTAAAATCTGTGGAAAATTAACAATAACATACTTTTTTCGCAAAATCTATAAAGGACTCTTCTATTTCTCAAAAAAACCTGGGTAACAGTTATTCGTCGCCACGCTGTATATCACAGCAGTGGCCCTATAGGTTCTAAATATATCAGTTTCTATTTGCACAGTTCGGTACAACTATTTTTTTCTAGATTACTAGACTACTTGATATCTAAATTATTGAAGAATGGATGAAATATGAAAAAATAACAAAAATTGCATGCTGTATAAATTTTTTACCTTAAAATGCGATTTTTCTGGGATCACCGAAGCGTTAGCAAAAGAGATAAAAGTTTGTGTCAGTCGATTGTCATTGAAGCTAGACGAAAAAATAAAGAAAACCGGAAAAAGCATGGAGAGTTTTTCTTAACATAACAATGAATGGATAGTTGGAGATTTAGTCCTTCGTAGGGATGGAAAGTTTTGAAAAATAATCGATTCTCGATTCTCGAGTCTTATTTAGTCCTTACGATCCTTGGAATCGGATAATCGACGGCGAGATTCGAATTATTCAATTCTAATCGATTCTTTACATCAACCTTTCTTTCAGTTGAAAAATCTATAAAAGTAAATAAATTTGAATGCCCTCCTTAAAATTGCTTCTTTTCATAAATTCATTTCTACCATCTCTACACTCGAATATGCGTCAATTAATCTTACTTAACCCTTCTGCAATGTTTGGGTCAAAATGACCCAATTTTCATGAAAAAAATCTTTAATTACAGAGTTAGGCAATTTTAAATAAGCCGCGAAGTTGTCTATTCGTTAAAAGCGTAATCAGCTATGGTTTTGCAAAAAATATTATTTAATTTTGTTTTCTAGAAGGAAACATAGTTTTCCATACACCTACAGTATTTCTGGGTCATTTTGACCAAATTATTGCTTAGTATTTAAGGGAAACTTTGAACCGGTAAGAGTACAGCACTTGCCGATAAAGTGTTTGTAAATAAAATATTAACTGAATAACATGTTTTCTTCTTAAAATTGACTAATTTCTATTGTTGTGTCCCAAATGACCCAAAACATTATAGGAAGGGGTAAATTCTAAACACTGCAGAAGGATTAACATTTATGGTAGTCATGCCAGAAATTTTACAATTCTAATAACTGACGCATATCTAAAGATATATGAAAAATATGAAAATCGAGTTCTCAGAATCGATTCTCGATCGATTCCGAAAATGTAGAATCGGTTCTCTAAAATAGATTATTTCGAGAAAATCTACGATTCTAGAGTGGAATCGGAATCGATTCTTCCATCCCTAGTCCTTCGTATCTCCTTAAAGATAAAGTAAAGAACAGCCTTAAACATCTGCGATATCTATCAAATCTCTCTTTTTTTGGTACATACATATAATAACACTCGGCCAAACACTAACATATGTGTAAGCCCCAATCTATTTTTATTATTATTATTATTATTAAAGTAACACTGAATCATTGATATCGGATTACTATAACATATAGCTCCCATGCAAATGATTATTGATACATTTTTTAGTACAAAGCCTCATATGTGAACAATCAGTTTTATGGGAGCTATATGTTACATTAAGCCGATTTCGATGACTTCCAGAAATAGTTTAAATTCATTGTTTAAGTTCATTGTTCCATCATGAACTGGTTGTTTTATTTAATCTTATGTGTATAGTTTTCAAATTGTTTGATATTTTAAAAATCATTTTCTAACATCTGGCAACTTTTTTATTTTATAGCTGACGGAGATATTGTAAAATATGTTTGGATTAAGACTTCCTCAATCACCTTTAATTTGATACCAATCTTGTAATATTTGATTTAACTTTTACATATTTATTTTTTATATGGGTGGCAACTCTTTGAGTCCAATAGCTGCTAAACTTTGCAGGAACAATCTCCAGACTCCGCCAAAGTATTTATGTTAATAACATCAAAATCAGATTCTTAAGCGGTTTCGGAGTCTTCGAGAACGTAGTACACACATAAGATCTGCACCATTCTTTCGAATTTCAAAAATGCGATGCAAAATGAAAGGACGTTACCTGTAGATGTAATAAAATAACAAGTAAGAAAGTCTAAGTTCGGGCGGAGCCGAACATTAAATACCCGGCGCAATTATTAAATATATGTTTTCCACCTTTCCGAAAGCTACCGCTACACGATAAGCCAGGGTGTATTTATTTTAAGTAAATTAGCGTCTTAAATTTCGAAATATTGCAGTTTCAAGCACTTCTGAAATATACCGTTATATGAAAAGCGGTCGTTATTTTAGTCCGATTTCAATAATTTTCAACGCTTTGCTTTTATGTGGCAAGCACAATAACCATACCGAGTTTGGTTCAAATTGCTAGAACGGTTAGCGAGATACATATATACCCGAGCGCACTTGTGCACAAGGGTATTATAACTTTGTTCACATAACGGTTGTTTGTAACAGGCAAAACGAATCGAGATAGATATAGACAAATGTATACATAAATGA